GTCAACATTTTCTGTCATTGCATAATGAAATAGTTCAAGTGATTCTAATGTTGACAGTTCACTCTCTTCATCTTTTTTAATATCACCAATATAAACATTTCCCTCCTGATCAGTATCTAATGATCTTGCTAGCCACCATCCAGTAGTACGCTCTTCCTTGATCTCAAGTTTCTCTCCTTTCTTGATTGAAAGCTCAGTACTTCTTCTTGCCTCCCAGTCGCTAATAGCTACATAAACTGGTCCCTTTGGCGGATTTATTGATTGGGTAGACTGATCCTTTCCTAAAATACCAGTACTAGTCATTATGTTAATATAATGTGATACATACTAAGAGTAATTGAAGTTTCTTTCAGTTGTTGTATATTCATTAATGATACCTTTTCCTGTAACTGCTCTATCTCCTTTTCTCTTTCAATTAATGTTTTCTCTAATCCAATTAACGTTTCTTTAATTCCTAGTTATTAATAATAGTCATTAATACAAATCAAAAATTGGTCGCTAATTTAAATATATTTATCAATAATTTGTATATTATTTAATTGCATGTAAGAAGGACCAGTATTAGTATTGAGTATATACAATCATCCTCCTACTATAACAAATTAATGTACATGTACAACCAATAATGATACTCTAAACATAGCTGTACTGTATTCTCATTATACAGTTATTAAGTATGTCTGTATATATACCTGTTTTGCTTTGAAGAGATGATCGTAAATGATCTATTTCCATTTTCATTGCTTTTGCCATCTTCCTTTTACTCTCTTCCTTCTCAGACTCTAAATAATAAAAACGAACCAATTAAATTTTTAGCAACAACAATTCAGCTACATGATGTATTTATTCAAAATTCATTCACATGACAATATTCATAAATATCACGTCTCAACAACATGAATCTCATTATACCTGATGATTGTATTGATGACTTATTGCTTTCATCAACTTCTCTACCTTCATATGATATGCCATTAAATTATCAATAATTATAATTAATAATAATTAGTATATACCTAATGTGTCTATTGTATCCTTCAATTTAGCATTCTCCTCAAGTAAATCATCTCTTTCCCTCTCTACCATCTCCAGTTTCTTCATTAGACTCCTCACCTCCTATCAAATATTAAAGTATACTATTAATTTATATACACATATATTCACTAACCTCATCAATTGCATGTTCATCATACACAGTATAGTAACCAATAGTTAAACTAATCAATCCCATCTCCTTTAGCATATCAATGTTATCTCTAGCTGTCACTAGTAAACTCTCCATCAGATAATGAGGAGCATAACAAGTAACAATGATCGAGTTCCCTTCCTTGATCACTACCACCTCCACTTGATTATCCTTGAACGTTTTCCATAGGAGGGCTCTGATACTGGAGAGAGTATGCTCACTTGGATTCCATTTCAGAACA